TATTACATTAATTGATTTCTGTACTTTGAACAAAACTTGCATCCCTGGAATGAAACCCACTTGATCATGGTACATTATTTTAAAATGATTTTGTATGCAATTTGCCAAAATCTTATTGAGAATTTTTACATCTATGTTCATCAGCGATATTAATCTGAAATTTTACTTCCTTTGTCTGGTTTTGATATCAGGATGATACTGGCCTCATGAGTTTGAGTTTGAAAGGGTTCCCTCTTTTTCTATTTTATGGAATAATTTAAGGGGTATTGATGTTAATTCTTCTTTGAAGACCTCGAAGAACTTGACTGAAAATTCATCATCTGGTCCTGGGACTTTCTTGGTTGTTAGGCCTTTGATGGTCTCTTCTATTTCCTTGCTTGATATCTGTTAAAATTGTGTATTTTCTCCTGATTCAATTTGAGAATATTATATGTTTCTAGAAATTTGTTGATATATTCTCTATTTATTGAAGTATATTTTTCAAAATAGTTTCTAATTATCTTCTATATTTCTGTAGTGTCTGTTGTGATATTTGCTTTTTCATCATGAATTTTAGTAATTTGAGTTTTCTCTTTCTCTTCATTAGTGTAGCTAAGGGTTTATCAATTTTATTTATTTATTTCAAAGAACCATTTTTTTGTTTTGTCAATTCAATTATTTCTTTTTTTTTTCAATTAATTGATTTCAGCTCTGATTTTAATGATTCCCTGTCTTCTACTTTTGGTATTGATTTGATCTTTTTCTAGTGCTTTGAAATATAGTGTTAGGTAATTTGAGTTCTTATTCTTGAGAGCTGGTTTGGAGGTTCTAGCAGGGGAGCGCAGCTACTGGTATACCCTTGACTGAAGAACGGTCCTCCTCTATCGGGAAAGGTTGTCCTCCTCCACCCAGCGCGCAGCTTCGGGAGGGATGCACATGGAGCGGTGAGGGAGGAAGGGGACACCCGCCTAGCCAGCCAGATCAGCCGAGTCAACCCTGGCGATCAATGGGGTGACAGATGTCGCAGCCAGATCGCCCTCACATCCGAGATCTTATTCTTTTAATGAATGAACTCAGTGCAGTGAACTTTCTTCTTAGCACTGCTTTCATAGTGTTCCAGAGATTTTGATACATTGTATCAGTGTTCTCATTTACCTCTAAGTATTTTTTTTTCATTCTATTCCTGATTTCTTCTGCTATCTATTATAATTTGGGAATTTTGGCATTTTTTTCTTTTTCAATTTTTTAGATCTTTTGAATTAGTTAAGAATTAATACTTCACTAATAAATATTCCCTTTACTAAGTCTTCCTAAAAAGTAAAACTAATTAGGAGAATTCAAGTCTTGGCAAAAGTGGCAAAAATGGTGTAATTAAGAATGATACTATGAAGTCATATTTGGTTGAGATCTGTGGTTAGATGATAAGTAGCCTACATGAAGTAGAAGGTTTGCTTTCTCAATAGTTTCATGTCATGATATAATATCCCAGTGAAACTGTTCAGCAGAATGTTGATGCAAGACTGAAGATAAGAATAATTGCCAATAATAGTTTAGACTTACTTATTAACTATCTTATACAGACAAAAAAGAACTATAAATGTGCTTTACTCAAAAGTGTGAATATCTTTAAGAGGCAGAAAAAAATGATTAAAGTTTATGAAATGCTTAGCAGGCTTCAATACTCTGACAGGCAAATAACATAATAGAAAAAAAAAGAAAGCTAAAGATAAAGTAGTTAGTGGAGATTTTGTATCTCATTATCATAAATATATGTATTTAGACAAGAATACTTAGAAATTGGCAAAAAAATTAATGAAATGTGCTAGTTAGTAAAATTCATTACTGAGATGCATACAAAAACACATTTTGGGTTGATAAAGCAAATATAGGAAACTACCATTTTACTCTGTCTTCTCTCTCTCTCTCTCTCTCTCTCTCTCTCTCACACACACACACACACACACACACACACACACACACAGATATCACTACTTAGTGGATGGAGGAGGAAGTTAACTGAAGAGCCAATGGTTGGTGATATATATTTTGCTCTATGAAAGTCTTTCAATTCTTTTCTTCAAAATATCGTCAGAAATCAGAGGAAGAGATAAAAATGAAGTTGGAAGCAGGAGCTCACACCTGTAGTGCCAACAACTTGAAGTCTGATGCAGCAGGATCATAAGTTTGAGGCCAGCTTAGGCCACTTATCAAGACCTTATCTCAAAATAAAATTAAAAAGGGGCTGTAGATGTAGCTCAGAACATGACTGGATTCAATCCGTAGTAACACAGGAAAAAAAATAATTTCTTCTATGTATGTTTGAAATTTTACTCCCAAAAGATATCCTGAAATTTGAAAGTCTCATTTAAGAATTTAGTATTTAGGAATGACATATTATTAAAATGATTCAGGTAACTAATTTGATTTAAAATTTATTTTAATATTCATGTTGAAGAAAAACATTGGTATGTTACAGAGAATTAGGAGAAGAATTAGCCAATCTTTCAATGATTGCAGTTAAAGAAAAGAAGGGATATTTCAGATTCCCTGAATTTTTCAGAGATTTCTTACTGACCTAGTCCACTAGCCATAAGCAATGTATTTTATTTAGGTGGTTGAATTTTTAAAATTATTGTATCCTAGTGATGTATTTCTAGAAACACAACCTGGTCCCTTTATAGAGTCTTCTCTCATAAGAAAATCCTTCCAAAAAATTCTTAGTAGCAGTTACTGCTGCAAGTGGTTGAGATCGACAATTAGCCCATAGTTTTTAATACTAGTGGTGAATAAGAGTCACTTGAGGCAGTTTACAGTAAAAAGTAGATTTCTTGGATTGGTTCCTACAATTTAAACTCAAATGTCAATTACAGAGCCATATTACTTGCATTCTGTTTTTAAGATGGAGCCTCACTAAGTTGCTCAGGCTGGCCTCAAACTTGCAATTCTCCTGGTGCATTCAAATTACCTCATTTAAAAGTGAGAAATGAATTTCACAAACACTTCTTCAGATTGTAACTTCCTTTAATTTGCAATATGTGGCTCTCTATGCAAGTTCTATACAAGAGTTCATAATTTTCAGAAAATAGATGATTTCTTGCCCTTGAATTTCACTAATACATCCAACAGCCATGTGTATCACTTACACAACTAATTAACCCCAAGGTGTCTGTATATAGACTGACAGTACAATGATTCATATTCATCCTCAAGGATCTGGCCAAAGCAAGGTAGAGATTGGAGCAGAGATTAAAAAATAGAATGTGAGTCACTGGATAGTTGTAAGAGGTATGAAGTACCTCATGTGATTGGATATTTAGGAACTTTGTGTAAGGGTTCTTATGCTAAACACTCTTTCTCTCGTGTATGTGTGTGTGTTGTGTGTTTTTTTTTTTGTGTGTGTATGTTCATGTGCATGTGTATAAATTGATAGGATAGAATTCTAGGAAATTTTGGAAGAATAAAGGAGGAAAGGATATTTTTCCTAACTGTAAGGTCTGGGTAGTTTCTCTAAGTGCTCTTAGATCATATCCTATGTAGTCCTACTTTAGCAAATTTTATGACTGTGTACCTTCCTTTTTTACTCATTAAAGTAAAAGCTCCATGATTCTGGGAATGTATGTTCTTAAATACTCTATTTCTAATACTAGCTCAGTGTCTAAAATCTGAATTATATTAGGTACTTCAGAAATGCTTATTTATTGCATAAAAGAATGCTTACATAGTATTTGTTTTATTTTAATGATAAAAAATGGCATAGCCATTACAGAGAACAGCATGGAGATTCCTCAATAAACTAAATAGAAATATTTTATGATCTAGCTATCCCCCTTTTAGATATATATCCAAAGGTAATGATTATGCCCACTGTATTGTAGGATTATTCACAATAGTTAAGTCATGCAATCAACCTAGGTGCACATCGTGGGCACGAAATGTGGGCAAGAAAATGTGGCATATATGCACAATAGAATATTATTTAGCCCTAAGGAAGAATGAAATCTTGGTATTTGTAGCAAAATATATGGAGCTGGAGGGCACTACATTAAGGAAAATGAAGCAGGCACAGAGAGATAAATACTACATGTTCTCTCTCATATGTGGAAGAAAATAAATATTTTTAAAAGGAGATCTGATTATAGAACATAAGATTATCTTTTTAGAATACAGAGACATTTAAAATAAGTATAAGATGAATCTGTGGGATTCAAACATAAACTTCCTATTAAATGATGCCCCAAATAATAGAATCAACTAAGTAAAGGATGCAATGTATATAAAAACTACTTTGGGTGGCAATATATTAATTTAACAATCCAGTGCATATTAAATATAACATAGTAGCTTGTGATCATACCATAAAATATTGTGCCATAAAACAAGGATTTTCCCATGTTAAAAATAGCTACTGAAATTGCATAACAGTGGCAAACATCTATTTTTTTAAATAAAAGATTAAAGTATACTACACACTCACAAGGAAACAAACACTGTTTAAAATTAAAGAGTCTTGAATTGGAGGGTGTTTTCATCCTCTCCAGTTTCTAAAAATCAAGTGAAAGATTCACAGGGCACTCATTATTTAATTCCAGTTTATCTGCCTTATACAAAATGTCTAATGTATTGGATAACTCCTCTATGGTATGTTGGATTATGATTATAAAATTGAAATTCATTTTATATCAACATTTTAAGCAAAATAAGCTAGAAAGATAAATCTGGTTATAACAAAGACAATTAAACATAAAGTTTGTTCCAAATGTAGATGCAAATATATATATATATACACACACACACATATATATACACACACACATACACATACACATATATATGTACATTTGTACATACATGCATTTGTTTTTATATGTAAAATAAAGTCATAGAAATAATTTGTGCTTAAATGAATTGTCTATTACATAAAATGTTTAAAATTATAAAAGCAAACACAAGGTCAGAATCTTATCTCAGAATCTTTATCTCCTGAATGAGTGGGACCATGTGGTGCTAGGGAAAGCAGGAAGTCAGAGAAAAGTCACTTGTTGATTCCACAGTTTCTTCATAGCTGTTTTCATCTCCTCATTTCTCAATGTATAGATGAAGGGGTTCAAGAGTGGAGTGAAAACTGTGTAAAATACAGACAGGAATTTGTCCACAGCAAACTCACTGAAGGGCCACAGGTAAATGAAAATGCAGGGCCCAAAGAAGAGTGTGACCACCATGATATGGGCAGAGCAAGTGGACAGAGCTTTGGTGACGCCTCCTGCAGCACGCTGCCGGACACTGAGGAGGATGGCAGTGTAGGAGATCATGACCAGCAGGAAACAGCTGACAGAAATCAAGCCACTGTCTGAGATCATAAGTATACCCAAGACATAGGTGTCCATGCAGGCAAGTTTGATCACCTGAGGAAGGTCACAGTGAAAACTGTCCACCTCATTGGGGCCACAGAAAGGTAAATTCACAGTGAAGGCAATTTGACTGATGGAATGCAGAAATCCAATGACCCAGGAAATGAACACCAGCTTGATGCAAGTCTGCCGGCTCATCATTGTCATATAGTGCAAGGGTTTGCATATGGCCACGTATCTGTCATAGGCCATGGAAACCAGCAGCACCATCTCAGCCCCTCCAGCAAAGTGGAAGAGAAAGATTTGAAACATACATCCTCCAAAGGAAATTATCTTTCTATCACTAAGGAAATCTCTGATCATCTTGGGGGTGGCAAATGAGGCCAGCCACATGTCCACAAAAGACAGATTCCCCAGCAGGAAGTACATAGGGGAGGACTGCAAGTTAGGGGCAGAAATTACAGTGACCACAATGAGGAGGTTACCCAGAATAATGGCTACATACATCCCAGAGAAAAATACAAAGAAAAAATTTTGTAGATATCGTGAAGAGCAAAGTCCAAGCAACACAAATTCGGACACCACCGAATAATTCTGCATGTCCATTATCACAGGTATCAGATTCTCTTCTGAATCTACATAAGGAAAAGAAAATCATGTCATTTGTATCAAGATGGGTGGACTAGAGCACCTTATATAAAGGGGAGGCATTAAAGTCAGTCAGGCATATAAAGAGAAAATTGCAGGATGTTAGTAATATTCAGAATTTATAAAAGTGGAATTTATAGAAACAGAGTAAAATAGTATTTACCAGAGATTGGGCTTGGGTGGGTGGTGATAATTGGGGCAAAGGTGGTCAAAAGATTCAGGGTTTGAGATAAATGGGGAATGTGTACAAAAGGTGTACTACATATCATGGTGGTTATAACTAATAGCAATAATAATGGCTGATTATATATTTCAAAGTTTCTGAGTCAGAATTTAAATGGTCTCACAACAAAATAGTGAGTTAATGCATGTTAAATAGTTTAGTTTATATATTACACAATGTATTCATGTATGAAACTATCATTTTGTGTACAGAAATATGTACAACTCTTTTGAATTAAAAAAGGGAGGAAGGAAGAAAAGAAGGGAAAGAGAAGTAGACAGAGAATATGCAAGTTGAAGTGCCTGTTAGCTGCCAGGGAAATGCAAATGGTCAACTAGGTCTTATCTCAATATAATTTTAATATATAACACAAAATCTAAAAATTCAGTATGGAACATTATAAACAGTTTCACACCAACATGTATATTTGCCCTTTTCAGATTTCAGAGTTTCTTTAAGAGTAGTTGGACACTTTGGAAGACTTTAACATAGGTGAGAATTTTAGGAACATTTTTTTTCTTTTCTTTCTTTCCCCTGTTGTCCTTTTCCCATAGAAAGATGGAAAGAATGATGTGCAAAGTTTGAACAAAAACTGTTAGGAGAATCAAGAATATGCATATTTTCAGAGTAGTGCTATGTTTTACCCATCAACGTAGATATCATTGTCCAATGGGTAATTGTATTTAAACATCATGCCTAAAAGTAAAAATGAAAACTAGTTTAAACATATCATCATGTAAAACACAGAAAATTATATATACATTATCATGTCTCTTCTTCCTCTTTTTCTCTCTCCAGTTATATAAACAAAACCAAAACAAAATCAAGTAAAGCATTTTGGTGGGTGACTCTATGTATATATCTCCCTAAATATGTCCAATTATCTAATCAATATGCCTTTCTCTCCTGAATCCATAATAATCAAAATTTAAAAGAGAAAGATTTCTTTAATCTATAAAAGTTTATTCTGGATGTAAAAGCCTATCAAAGTTGAAGTATATTAAGTACAGGATAGATTTTGGATTTTTAATCAATGTGTGTATGCTTGATAATTTTATGGGAATGTTATTATTATGTTATATCTGTTTTACAGAACGACATCATTGTCTCAGAAAATGTCTTTGAGGAAACTTTGATCCAAATGATAGTACAGTTACATAAAAATTCTTATTTTTTTATTTTCAAAAACAATATGTAATGAAATTTTAATATAAGTACTAATCTATGTCACCTGGGTGATAGCCTCTAAATTATAGACCCCTTATTCTCCCCTTCTTTTCACCAACAACCCAGATAGGAGATACTTAGCAGATTTTCATATAACAGAAATGTGACAAGGTTCACTTTCTGACTATTTCATAAACAGAAAATATGGGCTGCAATCAAGTTCCAGAGAGCAAGAACCAGAGAATGAGTGGAATGGTGAGGGAGAAAGATAAAAGGGAAAAGAATGTAGGTTGATACTATCAAGTTAACGGTAGTCTATTATTAATATATTTCTTTACAAGTGCTGTTCCCTTTGTGATTATAATTATAATGAAAATGTAGCTTTTGTGATTTAAAAGTAAGGAAAACTTTTAAAAAAGTAAATTGTGGAGTATTTTGCTTTAATGTTTCTGATTAAATGCACCAAAAGAAAATCTGGTTCAGAACAATTATTTTTTATTTTCAATTAAAGTTCAGTTCAAGAACTGCTTTCTAAAGAGCAATAGACTTGAGGTCTCTCTTGTGTTAAAACTTCTTGCTTTTTTTGTATTTTGTATTATTTATTACAGTTAATTTTTCTACTGTAAAATTCAGTCATTTTAAAAGTAAAGGTTAATGAATTTTAGTGATTTTAATGAGTTGTATAATCATTTTCTGAATGCTTGCTTTGGAATTTTGACAACTTAGCTTCTCTCAGATTTCTAGCAATGGTCAGGTTGCTGTCTTTCCTTCTTAGTTACTTAACTTACAACCTCACTCATTTAGACCAAATCTATATAACATCAACACAGTATTCCATTTCACTTACCTTAGTGTTTAAGTGATGTAAAGGGAAATAAATCAATTAACTTAAGTGTTAACGATATCAGCCCACAAATCTTTATTGTTGTTCTGATTATTTTCTTTTATAATTTTTTTTTGGGATTAAAAGTCATTGATCAAATTTATTAATTAATTATTTTCATAAATTATCTCTCAGAGGATTTTAGAATGGCTTTCAATGAAAGGGATGTATTTCAGGACATTTCTCATGCACCAAAACATAAAATTTGTGCAATAATTTCATGGGATGTTTTCATGAATAGACACGAGTTTCTGACAAATTCAAAATGGAATTAAGATAAATCTAGTTCTGAAGTTCCAGTTGAAACAGGATAGGATGCATAGGTCTCAGTAATAATTTTTCATAAGAAATAAATTAGACCTTAATTTTCCTCACTAAGAGGAAAATACTGTATAAAAATCTTTTAAAAAGAGCATTGAATTGAATTCTTCACGAGCAATTTTCTAAAAATTACAGAACTAGCTTTTATATGAGTTTTTTTTGGTATAAAACTGAAGAACATAATCTGAAAAAATAGTTCTGTAAGGTTTCTACAGGGAAACAAAGTAAATAACATATGTAAAATACTCTAATAATGTGAAATGAGGTAGTAATAGAATCTTAAAATCTAAATGAATTGGCATCTATTAAATCTGCTTTAATTCTCTCAATTAGGAATCATCTCAACCAGACTTTTAAAAAATAATGAGGACCGAAATTCCTTTTGTTCCCCTTGAACTTTCATAAATGCATTGCATGAGAACACTTATTTGCAATACTTTTTATTGTAATTTCATGCTATACTCCTTTAGACTAGAATTTTGCATCTGAAGCTAAAACACTGGACACAATGCACATCATCACAAATTAAGAATACTTAGCAAGTTTGGTTATTGTATCCTGACACTAGTATGTTCTAGTATGTGTCACATTCCATGGAGCTTTAATGTTTTTAGCATTCCTTTCCTTATGTGCCCATAAAATATTTAATATATAAATGTAAAATATAATGGAATATAATTTATATGTTTATAAAAATTGAGTGAATGGAAAATTGGAATGATTAAATGGAGGACTCAGGAAATAAATAAAAAAGAGTTCCTATTTGCTCTTAAGTTTAAGATGTTGTAATATTCGGTAAGGGTAATGGTTGCAAAGTTCTCTAACTAAACTAAAAAACACTGAATTGTGCACTAAAAATGAGTAAACTTTATGATATACAAATTATAACTAAATAATGCTCTTTTAAAAAATGAATGTTAAATGTAAGAAAATAAAGTTAATTTCTGGTAACTCTTTATGACTTAAGAAGTCTTTTATAAAGTTATTAAGTTAATGTTAAATTTATAATAAAAAACTGAGGTTAATTTTCTACATAAAACAGTATTTTTAAATTAAAATGCAAGTAAATAGTGTGGTAAAAATTCAACAATGATAAATTTTTATTTTATTTAACAAGGTATTATGACTCACTCCAATGACATAATAAAAAGATAATAAATGAGTGTTTATTTGACTGATACCTTAGACACGTGTTCACATTTATGTTAAAGTCTCTTTACTAACCTGGAGGCAAGATGGTCAGTGCTGAAACTGAAGATTACCCCATTTATATTTCACATCTAATGTAGATACTTAAACGGAGCTTCTGAAAACACATATATTTTCATTCTAGATGCTGTTTGATTTTAAATTTTCCCTGTGTCCTAAAAATAATTTGGGGAGAGCACCATTTTAAGAAGCTAGAAAAACTCCAGACTTCAGCTTTCTTTGGATTTAAGATATAAATGTTTACATACATATATATTTCTTCCCCCATCAAATTAAGAATACCTTAATGATGGATCATTCATGGTCAATTGCCATAACGGAGGCTGGGGAATAAATCACGTTAGGGTGGGAAATTTGTGGTAATGAATCTCATTCATTTCCCCAGAGGCACAGGAATAAAATTCTAAACTTCTGCCTTATTATATGAACATACTTGCAGTATTTTAGTAATTCAAGAATAATAATACATGTCATTAGTAATTTAATGAACCAAAAAAATATGTATTTTCTTTAATCAAATAGATTCTGAAAATTTGCCTGTCCTGCACATTGTTTTATGTAGTTTTGATCAAGTATAACACTGATGAAGGTATTCCTACTAGGAGAATCAGATTTGAATGTGACATAATATTTGTCATCTCTAGAATTATATTGTCAGGTATCATACAATCTCCTGGTTCTGGGCTACTCTGGACATCTGCTACAATTGATAGGCTGATTACTTATCAATATCATTGATGTTAATGCAGGCTTTTCCCACCAACGAATCTTTGTGGATGGCAAATACCCCAGAATGTTCTGCTGAACCATCACCACATTTACAACCATTTGCATCACACTCACTTCCCTATTGCATGAGTAAGCACCACCAAATTCATAAGAGATTTCACCACCAAGATACCCTCTAAGTGAACCAAGAAGTCTCATGTTCTACACTGACATTGTCTTTCACTTCAAATGAGTCACAAACTCTTTCTAAGTTTGGTTAGATGAACTTAAATAAAACATACAGATGATAATTATTAAATAAAGATTACAGAAACAGGTTACCAACTTCAGTGTAATTTGTTTCTTAAATGTGGTGATCATGTGAGTACAGATATAAAACATAAAGAATTACAGAGAAGTTTTAAACAGCCAGCTGAAGAGAATGCT